ACTAACTGAACCACTGTCACAGTTATACCACAGGTGCTTTGATGAGCAACCAGTGCCCACTATGTGGAAGCGTGGCATTATCACCCCAATTTTTAAAGGCGGTAGCCGTTCAGATCTTGCAAACTATCGCCCAGTCGCTCTCATCCCTGTGCTCGCGAAAGTGATGGAAGTCGTCGTCGTTGAGGCTTTAATGGACTACCTGAATTAATGCAACCCCTTGGCACCGGAGCAGCATAGCTTCCGTCAACACCGGTCATGCACTACCAAGCTACTGATTGCACGAGGTACTTGGCTGGGACGCACCTTGGCCGAATCAAGTTGCAAACGAGGTATCATTGACCCATCAAAAAAACGAGTAACTGCCGACCTCCCATCGGTCGGCATTCTCCCACACTTGACAGCTTCACCTCTCTGCGGGCTCCTAGAGACCGAGAAACTGGCCTGCTTGTATATAAATGCTCAGGGACTTTCTAACAAACTGGCTGAACTGAAAGATCGCCAAGCTTCCGGCTCGTATGATGTTATTGGTATCACCGAGACATGGTTGCACACGGGAATGACGGACGCTGAAGTGTCGCTACCGGGCATGTCGCTGATCCGGAATGACAGGCTCACAAAAGGAGGAGGGGTAATCCTGTACTACCGAAACGACTTACAGTGCGAAGCCGTGGAGGATTCAGACTCGCAGTTCCCTGACTCTCTTTGGTGCCGGTTACAGTTAAAAGGCAGGGACGCTTGCCTTATTGTCTTGGTGTACCGCGCCCCTAACTCAACACCCGAAACCGACTATTACCTAGCGGCTGCTTTAAGGTGCAGTTTACAACAAAAGTACACTCACATTCTTATCATGGCTGATTTCAACGTACATTGTTTAGAAGCCCCTGCCACGATCGGAGAACAATTCAAAACCGATCTACAAGATCTATTAACTACTGTTCCTCTTTACAACCACATCACTTTGCCCACTCTGTTCAGAACTGGTAACAGGCCATCTGTGCTGGATCTTGTGCTTACCAACGAGGAGCATATGATTGATGCGTTGGTTTTAAACTGCCCGTTGGGTCGCAGTGATCACGCAGTCATCAGTTTCAACTTCGTTTGCTATGCAGAATATCTGAATGATAACGATGAGACTGTGCGAACCATCACAAGGTACGACCGACTCGCCCAGCTAGTCAGCGCCACCACATGGTCTTTCCTCGAAGAAGAACCCCCGGAAGTCGCCTGGCTCGAGTTCGTCAACACATTCAGTCAGCTGATTGCACAGGCTTCAGAGATAAAAGCTTGCAATAAGTGCAAATCAGTTTCTTTCGTTAGGAGCCGAACTCGAAAATGGATGACAGTACGCAACGCAGCATGGCGAGTGTACAGAGAAGCTCCAGCACCAGAAATTTGGGACAACAACGTAGCCCAACGTAACCACTGCACTCAACTGTTAAGAGAAGACAGAGCCGCCTATCAGCAGAACATCGCAAAAACCTTCAGTGCTAATCACAAACTGCTGTACAAGCACGTTAATAGCCTACGAAAGGTGAGGCAAGGATTTCCTCCACTCAAGACGGCTGATGGCCCAACAAGAACGTCTATGGAAGCTGCAAACGCGCTGCAGATGCAATACGCCCCCACGTTTCAAAGAGTCTTGCCACCAAGCGATTTACCAAGCTTTGTATTCTGCTCACCAGGACTAACCCACATCACTTTTACCGCAGAGGCTGTATTGCAAAAGCTGACTTCTCTACACAAACACAGCTCGCTGGGTGTCGACACCATTCATCCAGAAGCATTGGGAGCAGCAGCAAGCCAACCGGCAGGACATTTAGCTCAGTTTTTCCAGCACTGCTTAGACCAGAATCAAGTTCCCGCCATGTGGAAGCTTGGATTAATAACCAGGATTCACAAAGGTGGAAGTAGAACTGATTCCTCCAACTATCGCCCAGTAACCCTTCCTCCTATACTCTCCAAGGTCATGGAATCCATAGTTGCCGATACACTGGTGTGCTATCTGGAAAACTGCAACCTCATCACTCCTGAACAGCACGGTTTCCGTCGACAGCGGTCATGTACAACTAAGTTACTAATCGCACGCAGTAGTTGGACCGAGGCAGCTGACGCTGGAGAAGGCGTTGATGTGATCTACCTGGATTTTTCCAAGGCTTTCGATCGTCTAGACCATCGGATACTACTATCCAAGCTGCAGCATTACGGGATCGGAGACCCTCTTTTAAGTTGGATCGCCAACTTTCTACTTCAACGGCAATTAGTGGTCAGAGTTCGGAACTCTTTATCGGACCCCATACAAGTGGAGTGTGGTGTGCCGCAAGGCTCGGTTCTCGGTCCACGTTTGTTTTTGGTGTTTATTAATGACCTTGCACAGGGAATCGCTTCAAACTTCCTAATGTTTGCCGACGATATCAAGATCTGGCGCAGGATCCAGGCGAACACCGACCAACATGTGCTTCAGAGTGATTTAGATACGGTGTATCAATGGTCGACCCAAAACCTATTGCATTTCAACGTCAGTAAGTGCAAGGTGCTTTCCATCCGACATCAGAGCAGCTACTCATACCGACTCGGAACGGATGTACTGCAACAATCAACTCTCGAACGTGACTTGGGTGTCCTGGTTCAAGATGACTTGGGTTGCTCCAGGCAATCCGAAAAGGCCTCGAAGACCGGGAACCAACACGTTGGGCTGTTGAGGCGGGCGTTTGGACAAATAAAATGCTCCATATTCCGACAAATGCTCAGTGCGTATGTTCGCCCCCATGTCGAATATGCAATTCAAGCCTGGCATCCATGGCTGAAACACGACCTTAATGCACTGGAGCAGCCACAACGCCGGGCATCTAAGAACGTATTTGGAATGCGCAATCTTTCCTACCAGGAGAGGCTGCGACGACTGAGATTGTTCAGTGGAAGCTATCGCAGACTACGAGGCGATCTGATTATGGCATACTTGATTCTGCGAGACCCACATCATGTGTGCCGCCCTTTACTGCAACTCAGCAGCAATACAAATCTGAGGGGCCACTCATTAAAACTCGCAGAACAGTACTGTCGTCTGGAGTGCCGCAGAAATTTCTTTTCCATCCGTGTCTGTCACCCGTGGAATGCTCTCCCAGAATCGGTCGTCTCTGCACCGACACTAACAGTATTTAAAAGACGGTTGGATGATGCACTCATCCACTTACACTTTGTTACTTAACACTATGTCTCCATCCTACACCTGGAGTTTACCATGGAATTATTTGTTGTTAACTGTGGATGCTGTGAATTTAAGAGGATCACAGGACTGCAGCGAAGCAAACGATAAGTCCTTATTTTCATATTTAAAGTATTAACTATTTTACTATCCTTATCATCATTATCGTTATGTTGATATCCCCTGCAACTATCCAACAGGACTTGTAAAGCAACGCTTCTTAACCCGTATAAATTCATCGTTCATTGTTCATTGATGATGGGATCGGAGTTGATGTCATTTATCTGGACTTCTCCAAAGCTTTCGACCGCCTTGATCACCACATCCTACTTCACAGGCTACAGAGCTACAGAATCGGAGCCTGTTCTTGGTTAGGTTGGCAGCCTTCTTCACCAACGGAAGTTTCAAGTGCGTGTTAGGGGACCACTCTCCAACCCGTTTGAGGTGGAATGTGGTGTCCCACAGGGCTCAGTGCTGGGATCGCGCATATTGCGGTGTTTATCAACGACCTGACAAGAGTTATCTTCTTAAATTTCCTGCTTTTCGCCAGTGAGGTCAACATACGGCAGACGATCAACAACAAGGAAAAGCAGGACCTACTCCAACATGACCTAGCTTGCATTTATAATTGGTCAACGAGAAACCTGCTTCAGTTGAACATAGCTAAGTGCAAGGTGATCCATCTGTGTAGAGACCACACCTTGAAGAAGGCCTCTCAGGAGCGTGACCTGTGTTTACTGGTACAGGAAGATCTGGAGTGCTCAAAACAAGCAGAGCACGCGACGAGAACCGGCAATCAACACTTCGGCCTGCTTCGCAGAGCCTGCGGTCGGTTTGAACCCTCAAGCTTTCCCCAAATGTTTAACGCCTACGTGCGACCGCACGTGCATTATACTATTCAGGTGTAGCAGCCGTGGTACAAACAGGATGTTGTCACTCTCGCGAATCCTTAACCTAGTGCAACCAAGAACGTCAGGAGCCTCTTTCATCTGTCCTATCATCTTAGACTGAAATCTCTAAGTATGTACAGTAGTCGATATGCGCCATTGCGGGGAGATCTCATAATGGTTTACCAGATTCTGACGAATCCAAACCACATTTGCCGATCAGTGCTGGTATTGAACCACAACATGAACCTAAGAGATCATCCTCTGAAACTGACAATTCGGTATAGCCGGATTGAATGCCCTAGGAATTTCTATTCGCTCTGCGTGTGTCAGCCTTGGAACGCCCTAGCTAATTATCTTGTCTCTACTAACAATCTGGCGATAGTTAACAAACTATTTGACGATGCGTTGCCCATTTGTATTTCATTGTATAAATTATTAGCCAGTGGCTACAAAACGCAATCAAACGGTGTCTTAGCATACTCCCGACCAGTGGATTTATGTATGTATATTTTATTACGCAAACATCCCCGCTATTCTACATAAGTCTATGCTGAGTCCACCAAATCGCTATCACTTTATAATGCAATTTGCTTTTCGCAATAATTCTTATCCCACGGGACTTGTGAAGCATTGCTTTTTTACCCGTAATTCATCATGGATCATTAATTCCATGATGTAATCCAATTGGTCCAGCAGTATCCAGGAACTGTAAGCTAGCGGAAAGCAAACGATGTAACGGCAAATTCGTGTTCGATGCTCTCTCTCCATTGAACTGAAGGTAGTTCCATCGATTGCACAATCGCAGCGTGAGATCACAATCTATGGGATTAGATTCAAAGGGAGGAGTTGATTTCAGTAAGAGAATGTATATGACACGTTTCAAGTCACAGGTGTAATAAGGCAAGATTCTGTTGTGAAAAATTCCCAAAGAACCAAGATTTATTTAGCAAAATACAAATAGGTGAACACATTAAACCACTGCAAACGGTGAAATCACGGTGGGCACATCTGGTCCGGCAGTTCTCGTGAGGGTCTATGAAGCACAACCTTCTTCATGCAAGAAAATCATCTGTGGATCCAACGAGTTAGTACCACGCAAGATATCCCGCTTGAATTGTACCTCCCTCGGCTTCTCACGAGAGCAATCCTTACCATACTCCTTCAGCAGTTGTTCCACCAATTCGGGTACTTTTTGCGTGAGCTCGTCGTCAGGGAAGAAACATGGAAATTGAGCACAAAACTGCGCTGTTTCGTTGGTGATTGGGAGCTTCCACAAACGATTGAATGGAACCAGATCGTATCCAGACTCGTTGCAGATTTGCTTCATCCAAAAGTTTACCTTCCTCTCCTCAGTGTTGAAGGCCTCGTTCGAGTGGACTGCGCTGCTGATCACATTACCAACGAGAGCCGCGGTGAAGTATCTGTGGAAGTAATTGTAGTAACTCACTTGCACACCTCTGTACTCGGTGCCACGCCAAGTGGCTAACAGATCATTCTCATCCCCTTCAGTCCAGCCTGGTTGGAATCCCTTGGCGTAGGAATCAAGCCCAACCAGATACTTGTACATCACTGGGATGTACATGTTATTAGTCACTTCACCGCCATGCATAAATGTGATCCGATCGACTTGCAGATTGTGACCAACTTCGTGTGGGATCCCAATTTGTTTCCCTTGTTGTATGCCTTGCTTCGATACAAGAGCGTTTCCCCAATACTTGTGACCCATCCACGGGTAGCCCGAATGACCATCACCAGCCGAGATTTGTTCATCGGTCACAAATACCTGCAGCCGATCGGTTGCATAGTCTGTGCCACGGTAATTGTGCATTAGCTTGACCATATTGTCATAGTGGTTGATGCAGTATATCATATCCTCCTTGCTGGTCCTCGTTGCCATTGATGTTTCGATCATGCTGATCATGTTATTACCGACTATCATCACAAAGGGAACGCCATGATATTTACGACGCTCAACATCCCAGTTGTTCCTTGACTCCGGATTCCGAATATCAAACCACGGGTAGCGGTAAACGTTCTTGAAGTGGATGGTAATGTTCGCGGGCCCAGGAATCTCGACCACTATCGGACCTCCGAATGGTGAAGCGAACTCACCCTCCATTTCCAAATCTGCAGATGAGGTGACAGCAAACCAGCGTCTGAGTACCGAGTGTCTCACAGTGTCCGTTTGGGGGTTAACGCGGATACGGAAACCGTTGAGACTACCAGTGGACACATTGAGCACCTTGTACTGGAACCCGTATCCGGGCTTTGCGTAGCCTCCCATAGGATAGAAACTGCCGCGTACACTCACACTAAACGTGACCGAGTAGCATGTGGCGTTCTCGCTGGAGTGCACATCTCCAGGCGTGCGCACTGAACCAGCTACTGGCTCAATTCTGGATCCGGTCTGCAAAGACAAAAGACGGTTCCAGTTTTCGAACGCTGTATCTAATTCTGGAGTCCTTTGGTAGGGGTTTTTGTCACAGATGGGGTGCTCTTTGAAATATTGTTTATATGTTTCAATGAACTTTCGGAGTTCGATTTGAAACTCAGGGTCCTTCTTGTTCACGGACTTCACCTTGGAGAACACATCCTGTGTTCGAAAGTACTTCCAACTTTCTGCTGCTAACTTTAGGAAATACGTATACGGAATAAAATCGGTCGATTCAATCAACCCTGGTAGCGATATGTCTCTCGGCACGTACGTGCCATCATGTATCTTGTATCTGACTCGGAGTTTCTTCATTAGCTCCGTCGAATCGTCGTTTGAAGAATGTGCCTTCCCCATGTAACCGATCACGACGGAATGTTTGCCTGACGCAAGTTTGTCAAATACTGCATTTACATCAAATTTGTCCTCACGTGTGACCAGTAGAATGTCTCCGTCATTGGCCTGCTCCGTCACTTCTACAAACGATGCATTCGAACAATTTGGACTGAGCCAAGAGCGGAAGTTCTCCCGCAACGCGGAGTAGTCAGATGCAGACAACAGTAGGTTCATTGCGTCTGTTCCGGACATGAGAATAGCACGAGCGTTACCGCGCACCACAGCCATTGTGTTGATTCGGTTGTGATGCCAACCCAGCGCGACATCGTTGTATTCAGTGCTCAGCAGGTATTCGCCGTAACTCTGTTCTACACGCAGTTTCTCCTGTCCGCTGAGCAGACGTCGACGGGTTTCCTGCGAACAGAGTGGGTGTACATGCAATCAGGTTAGAAAGGCGATTATTTGTGCCCAGCTAAAAATATAGTTTCCCTAACTACATGTTCAGGTGTTCCCCATGGGTTATGTTTACCGAAAGGCTATCATAAGGGATATTTCAAAATCATGCTATGTGTATAGCTTATTGCAGCAATTGATGAGTTATGTAACGCGGAGCTCATTTGATATTCGTGCACTCAACTATACCGTATAAGCGGAATCTAACCACTCGGAATTTTGCGGATCGCGATGTGTCACTCTATCGTTGTACCAGTATCGCTGCTTCAGTAACGCGTATGTTATTATTCATTAGCTCTTAATCACTCTTGCACCACTGAGACGTTTGCTTTACTCAGCTAATCACTGAGATTAACTGAAATTAGATAAATTATACACACAATGTTCCGCTGCCGTTTGTTAATCCGGGTTACAGGAAATCATCGACGATGGCAATGCAGACATCAGCTCCTCAGTTATGCAGCACTATTTGTTGTTCCAACTGGATATATGAGACCACTTTTATCTGCTTCATTTGGTTGCATTCAAAGAATGGGTTCAATTGTTTGTCTTCTGGATGTAGCACTCACCGTGTGGTAGTTTGGTATGTCCGGTCCGTCTTCAAATGTCACTGGAGTATAAGCATCCTCGATCTTTGTGCCGAATGCTCTCAACTCGCCCATCACTAGACCTTGTGTGGAAGATTCGAAGTTGTCCTTATCCGGCATAACTATAATGTATCGGGCTTGTATCGGGCCAGGAATGACAATCTCCTCTCCCTTCCTGCTGTAGGATAGATTGCGCATTGCCACGTGCCACGGATACAACCGCTCCATCTCGCATCCCGTTGCAAACTGGTCCCACGTGTAGACAGAGAAGGGTACGTGTAATCCTTGATCATCTGTGTCGCAAGGACCAAAGTGAGATTTATCAACACAACTCAGTGAATAACTCTCGGAGTAGTGATTCAAACATGACGTAGATATACCTGTGCATCCAAATATTGTTAGATAGATATATTGAACGCTTTGTGTTTATGTAGGAGGAAAGACTTGCATACGGAACAAGAGGTGGCTAGTCAAACAAATTTAAGCTGCGAAGTGGTTTTAATACTGTTGTGCGCTGTAAAATTCTGGTGCACATGATTTCACAATAGTGCTTGGGTGATTTGCCCGGATGTACCGATTTCACATACGTCCGTCCCATGATTGGGGGATGCACATCTCAACTCTGAGTGAATGCCAACTTTTACAGTGTACGATCTTTGCAACTATCACGGTGTATTGCGATCCACAGTCTCCTGCTGCAGGTAATGCGCGGATCGTGCAAATGCACATCGACCGCGAGTGAAAGACAGGTCTTAACTACCTCCGTGGATTCATGTCATGTCGGTTGGACACTATAGCCCTGCAAGATCAAGGTATGCTCAATGCATCCAATAGCCAAACCGTGTGCACACAGATGTCTCGCCATTGTTCAACATCACAATGTCGATCAAATCTGGAAACGAATGCTAGCGATCGCTGCAGTCATGCCAGCCCACTTGTTGTCGGTCTGACGGATCAACTACAGAATTGACCAGCACATACTAAACCGGATAGGAATGACACAGAAGATTGCCTATCTCTGACGAAATATGGAACCGACGCTCTTCGAAATACTGCTACACCTATGTGAAGCTCGAGTTGTGTATTTAAGAACACAAATAACAATGTTAGGATGTATACTTCTCGACTGAACGGAAGAATATTTCCTCAATGGAAGCAGATCAAAAGCGCAGGCACCATCGTGCTCTTGTGTGAATGAGATCAAGTCAGGTCATATCACTAATTAGCTGCGTATACGAATGTGTCGGGGATGCCAATTGGCTTGTTAAACGACTACTTAAATTCACCTAAACAATCTCAGCCACATTCACTGTGTCCATTGAGAGATGTAAGTGATTTCCTTCGGATGAGAATTGTGCAGTTTGATCTGTGGAAAGTGGAGTATACCCTGGGAAAGAGAACTCACAAAATGACCATTGGTTTTGCGCGTGCACTCGAATTGAGGATAGATTATACCAATGCTGCAGATCGACATAGAAAAAGGGCATCTGTTCATTGTACGGGCTGATGGTGGTGCCATAGTTTCCGTCGACCAAGCAATGGGGCCACTGTGCGTTCCCATACACAGGTTTTCGCAACGCGATGTTTTCGCCCTCATTTTCCTGTGCTCTGACTGTAAAGCAAGAAGGAAGATGGACTTATAAATACGTGTTAGCTAGAGGTGAGAGGCGATTGTTGCAGGCGGTTGTTCGGACCTGTGGACAATTTGTGATCGAGCCAACCAAAAAGTACACAGTGACAGTTCTGTTTAACCTGAAGTACAAGATAGTTCCGATCCCTACAATAGTTTTCCTATTTGTGCCAATGAATTATGGCGTAGTGAACCAGCGCAAAGTTCCATGATGATTCAGCATAAGGAAATGTGCCTAACCGAGCGTGGTTCGATTTGTCCCCAAAGGACAAAAATTGACAGCTCGGCACACAGACATAGAGTAATCACACCAAGTGGAAAGGGGAAGGAAATGCACCGAGATTGCGTAACACCACTACTTACCGCAGGTGAGGAAGGCCAGAAGTAGTAAAACCAACATCGTCCTACCTCTCTGGCCAAGTCACACAAGTAAGACTGTGTAAAATGACCCCAGCGTGCCTGGTATTTATACAACGAGTGAACACGACCATTTCGTGATTCTAAAACAGGTGGCACAGGTGTATGACGCAAAGATCTATAGAAATCCTATGAACCCGAATAGCAGTCGTATAGTCTGTTGACTGAACAGGTAGGTGCACGTAGGATTCGTTGACAGCGCTCAAGTCGTTTCTATAGCAATTTCAATATGGAATGGGAAAGTTGTCATAGTCTGACGCGACTGCACGTTTCGCACTTTTTCGATTGTGTCGAAAGAGTGAAGGCAGCGGTTTCTCGGTCGCGGCTCTATTGCCCCTTGATATGGAGGAATGTGTTCAAAGTGATTGTAGATATTAAGCTAATTTTGGTCCTACTGGTACGTAGGCCACGTATCTCTTTATAGATGACATCGCAATGAGTTAATCGAACACTGAAATTGATACTGTGAACCATCCGGTTTCATTTCGTTCCCAAAACTGTTCAGTGAGTTCAGAGGGCTTTCCTTGAGAAATTCGTTATAACCAAAACGATGTGCTTTATGAGATGCGAGTGAATCGCATCTGAACATAGGGAAACACTTGATAACAATGCAACGCGTATGGAACTAGGCAAACTATGTGCATGTTTCCTTGTAATAGGATGGGTTAATAATGGGCGTGGGGTTCAGATAAGCAGTGAAACAAATCTCTGTATTACTCGCTACAATTCAGTAAGCTCCTTAGCGGCTTCACCTTTACCTCGATGCGCGGCAGCTTCCAAATGAAGTCTATGATTCTGAATGCCAGCCATTTCCTCTGCATGACGGTGCACAGCGACAGGCATTTTAGTACATCTACTACTCGTTTCTGATCACCCGATAACTTCACTAATGTCTCAGCGGCTTAATTCGCTGCCACATAACAGCATAGCCTTAGCATCCAACGGGATCTGATGGGTGCGTGCATCTGACGAGTTACAATGTGACTGCCTGTCTGATGGCAAAGTTGGTGGAACCAATGATCATTCAATAGGATGTAGAACATATGTTGTGTTGTCTTCGATGGAAATTACAATGTAATGTTGTTGAAAACAGCTAGAGATGGTGGACAGATGGAAGTAGATCATTCAGGGTTCGAGGAGAAATGACTGGCAACACTGATGACAATTCTAAGTAGGTAGTATCATCAAAGAGTTAATATGTCATACTTCTATCCTTTATCTAGCGTTACTGCATTCAAAGATGAGGTGTGAGAATGGCATCATCTTGAATTTTTAGAGGCTGGATGTCAATATTAGGGGAGATATCGACACCAAACTGTTTGGACATCCATATTTGATATCCATCCTGATGAGAAATGAAAATTTGTAGAATATTAGTTTCTCGTATTATGATTGCAAAGCTGTACACATATATGCGTTTAATTTCAGATTTAGTTGCCCTAGCGTACGACTGAAACAGCAACCATATAAAACGGAAAGAAATGTTTCTGTGATATGGCGCCCCGCTTGGATCTCTCACTGTAGACATACACAAGGCGGATATTACAAGTTTGATGAGCCCCACTGTCGCAATGTGGTCGGTGGAACCTGGGATTATATGACCCCGGTTGATGATGATGGTTGGACGATGCCAGGACATTTAATGCGGTAGGAAATTCCGATCACACAAAACGGACTACGACTTCCACATTAGCACCTACACCGTTCTTGTCAACTTTATTTGGTAGCTAGGAGACATTCCGTAGGTGTCGCATATTACCATGTCCATTACGTGTGCTGTGGAGTTCTCGATGACAATTATTTCCGGCTTGATGTACCTTGATGCCGCTGGGATGCGGGGCTCCTGGATTATTTAGGCTCCTATACGACCAAGTTGACTTACAATATCGTTGCGCCTCTTACAGCAAGCATCGTGGGTTACTGCACATGACTGCAAGAAATTCACTTACCAAGACGTCGAATTCAATAACTGAGTATAAACATTCGAACTATGTGATGATGACCCCACAAGTTGTATGCTGGCAAAACATGCTACTCAGATGACCAGCAGCTGAGGGTCTGAAACTTACGGTGTTGGCCAAATTATTATAAATTTCTTGATTTCAGCAAACTTTTTTCTTATTTCTTCACATTTCTCATAGGAATCAGATGAGGTTACTGTAAACTGACTACGTTTTACAAGGAAAACCTGTACCGATTAAGCAATAAACAAGCTTAGTATTTGTAAATAATCCTTTGACGATTTTCAATGAGTTAACACACAAATAATGGTGTGAATGAGTTCTGTAAATGATGACAAATTGGTTGATATTACATGTACAGTTGTCCTGTAAGCCGATGGTTACATTTTTATCAAATTTGTTATTTCCTGCTGAAGTCTACATTTTCGGATTACATTTATCTGGGCTTGGATCAGAAGATAATTATAGGTACTTACTTTTGTTTTTAGTTTCAAAGGTAGCTTCTCAAATAACGACACAATTGTATTGATTGAAAGTTTCCAGTTTGTACTAGCATGTTAATGGGTAAGTTATTTGATCTAACCATCGAAAGCGTGCAAAAGTTAAACATTTATTGAGAGAGGTTAAAAGAGCAGGATTTGCTACCAAGCTTGGTGTTAGCTCAGCGTCTGTATACCAAATTCGAAAGCAATTGCAAGAGGATGTACCCCTTTCTCCCAAGCCTCTCGGTAAATGTGGTCGCAGAAGAGCAAAACAGCTCATGACGACTCACTTCTGCTTAAAGCATATAGAAAGAATTGCAAAGCCTTTAGCAGACAGCTGCAAGGGATGTTAGAACAGCATGGTGTTGCAATAAGTGTTGGAATTGTAAGAAGAGGACTTTTGAATTCTGAACTTCGTGCTTGCAGACCTCTGAGGAAGCAAAAGTTGACCAAACAAATGGAAGAAAACGATAGGAATGAGCAAAACAACTTGACAAATGGTCAAAAGAAGACTGGGAACAGATAAGAAGCGAAAGCTTTATTTTTATTAGGATTTTCGAAAAATGTTGTGCCTACATTGCTTGGGTAATTCCAACAGCTTATATGTGTTCTATTTTAGGTGGTTTGCTACGATGACTGTATCATTCGGTACTCTCACCACCACTCTCTATATGTTCGGCGAACACCTGGAGAACAGAATAGGGATAACTGTAACTTTCAACGAGTCAAGCATCCCACTCAGGTCATGATATGGAGAGTTATGAGCAAATACGCAACTGGTCGGCTCTACATCGTCCATGGTAACATGAACCAGCAGCAGTACGAAACACTACTAGAGCACCAACTGATCCCTCAGCTGTGTGAATGGGTTAAGAAAAAGTGATTTACAGGACCACGAAGACTTCCTTTTTATGCATGATAGTGCTCCGTATCATAAGGGGCGTGAAGTAACTCGTTTGCTTATGGGTCGTGGTATTAAATTTTCTCCATGTCCTGATAATAGCCTTGAGATGAATCCAATAAACAACTTATGGACAATTCTGAAGTCAGAGATGAAGAAAATATAATTACAACTAAGCTCATTGAGATAATTATAACGACCTGGGCACGCGATGAAAGCATGACTGAACCTTGCATAAAACTCATTTACTCCATGCCTTTGTGTGTTAACTTCTTGGAAATTGCCGAAGGATCATTTACAACATAATAACCTTGATAAAATTCTAATCGATGTTTTGCTAGGAAAATTTAATCAATTTACAGCTAAATCATTTGATTCTTATGAGAACTGTAAAGAAATATTTAAAGGGTTTGATGAATTCTACAAATTTTTACTAACCTAGCCAAAACTCTACTAGTGGATTTTCCCTGGGGAACTACACTGACTTGGACACCCAAAGTAAAGAAAGAAGCGTTTACTAAGGAAATGTATTGTGGACCGAGGCGTTGACTTGCGGCAGCATCATTTGTCCCTGACCTCGTCGCAAAACCGATACCCGGCTCTTGACTGGAACACGCATGCATTTGTGGATCGCGCGAAATTGATTGCGAAGCCATAAATAAATAAATTAATGCCGTCCTTTTGTGTGTGTTAGACGCTGGTTACATGAATCCAATGTCAAACAGTCTTAGATATGGCATTTCCTCGTCTAGAAATCTATGATTTGTGATCTAATAGAAAGAAAGATTCATGCTGAATATGGTCAGTTGATAGGGGAATTCAGCCTAGATAGTAAAAGTTGATAAAGTATGGGGTTAGTTATCTACTGCATAACTAAGTGATACACAGGTGTCCTACCATGCTCATCAAGTTAACCATTGCTCAGTTTTACAAGATGTTGGATTTAGAAAAACATGTTATGCTCTTCGGATTGGGCCATTTGTAGGCCCAATGCTGAAAGTTTTTTATGTAAAATCTCATCGGGTAACAATGATGAGGGAAACTGTTATGATAGCGGCCGTTCCATCGACATTTCGAAGACATCTCCAGTGTGAGAAACAACTTCTTGGTAAGCCCAGGGAAGGATACCATCAATTACAATAACTACTTAGTTCTTGCCACAGAAATCGCATATAGATTGGTGATGAAGCATCTACAGTCGAAGGCTCAGTTAGGTGAGCAAGTTAATATTTTAGAAGACAACTCGAGCACTAGGTACTTCAAAACACTGCAAACATCGAACCCACGTGATTATTAGTTGCTAATGGACGATATTATACATCGGGCCTCGCTTACATCTCAGGGTGGTGCTTTTTACTACTGAAGTGATGGCGTATCACAGACATTGAAAACTAGCTTAGGTGGTTTGTGAAATCAGGAATCAGAGTCAGCAAAACTCAGAAATACAGTTGAACCAGCGTACACGGAAAATTTGAAGACCTTTTATTTTCAAAACTTGATTAAATCTAGTAACAAGGCTGAAGTATGACTAAAATGCAGTGTCGAATAAATGATATCTCGGAAAGAACTGTCAGAATGCCATGTCTCCGAGATTTGCACAGTTGTGCCAAATGTCTCCCTGACAACGCCGGGACATTTAAAAAGTATAATATTCGCGTTCCAACGGTCAGTTTCATTAGC